ACCCTCACCGTTGTTTGGGAAATGAATTCCATGTTTAAGCAGAGATCTTGCACAGTACAACCAAGGATTTCAACACTGGCCTCATCCAGACGCCGTTCAAGTGAGAAGTCGCCCTTCACCGAGTGCGCCTTTCTGATAGCCTCGTGGGTGGTGCGAAGGTGTAGGAGTTGGCGAAAGAGATGAGCACGCTCCGGTTGAATGTAGGCAAAGTCCTCGAAATTTAGAAGACCGGTAAGCCAGTGTCGACTGCTGCTGGGGATCTTTTCGTACCGCTCCATGAACAAGGGATCCTCGGAGAGCAGAATTCGTTCTCTCGACGCCTCGGCATTAACCACAACATCCAATTCGGCTTCCAGGGTTCCCACCTCGGCTGAATCTCGCGTCCGTCTCGAGCTGGCATAGCAGGCAAGTAACTTGAGGAAGGGTGTCGATAGCGGTAGGTCCATCAGATGGTTATCCTAAAGGGACATAATGAGAATTCCCTGTCAAATTGTCAGCTAAATTTATGGAAGAAATCGGCCAAGACTTACCTGCAGAGCTTTTGCCACTGCAATCCCCATAATGTAGAAGTGACGGAGGACATCAAGGGGCACGGTGTTGCGAGGATAGGGGGCGGGGAAGAGACCAAAGGAGGGATTGTTGTAATCAGAGGACGGATTCGACTCCATAGTTGATTCCACCTGTTCTGAATTGTCAAGCAACCACATTCCCAAGGACTTTCGACGAAATTCCAAAGCCAAAAGACTAAAGAACTCCAACGTAGGTCCCAATCCCGTTCCCTCCTCATCTAATAACCAATACCATCAAGATAAGCCATTGAAAGCTCTAACTACGAAAGGTGGTCACACATCATGCAACTGACTTGTGAAACGAATTTCCAACTCCGATTTGCACGCAGCATGCTCATCCATAACACGTTCTGCCCAAGCCCAAAATCCTCGACCACTTGGATCTACCGATTCATCGCGTGGTATATCAATGAAATTTCTGAACAGTCGACCAATCTACAATATTGTGTGTTAAAAAATAAATAAATAAGTAAAATAAAAGTGCATCTTCTTCTTCGCCATTCACTCAAGTGTAGCTTAAACTCACCGTTTGCTGATAACAAGCACAATCACCTCTATTGCGCGCGAAAATGTCCACATCTGTCACGAACTCTTCCGAGGGCTCCTCCTCCCCGAGGTCACAGTCCGTGTGATTGAGGTGGGAGGAGATGTTGGCAGCAAAACGCGTAGCTGCTGTGCGCTGCAGGTAGTTGGCTAGTCGCCTTTGATCATTATGATCCTGATTGATGCTTTGTGAAGGTGCAACATTATTCTGCAACCACAAAAGTGATCTGAAATTTAAAAGAAAAAAATCGCAACATCATAAAAGTTGTAGCTTTGATGTTGTGCGTTTTAGTCTTGTGGAGAAAAATAAGCTCACCTTGCAGGACCAAAAGCACAGGCTCTGAAGAAGTGATGACGAATACTGTAGGGGAAGAGAGCTGTGACACGTTGAGTCAAATTCCTGCACCAATCAGGTAAGACGGGACCGGCAGCAACTGCTAGCACGTCTTGAAGTTGACGTGTAAGCTTACGCGAGAGGCTGAAGGAGATGAAGTCGCGTGGAGAAACCGAGCAGTCTGAGGCGAGTGTAGACTTCCCTTCATCTGTGACATCACTGACACCTGTCAACTTGGAGAGCAGTTGGAGGAGATCAAGCAACTCTTCCGTCCTCTCTTTTGTACTCCTTTTCATCCTCTCTGGTGGGTGAATACCCAAGCGTCCCAACTGTTTCTCCTGTGCACTAATCAGACGCACATCACGCGAAGTAAGTAAAGACGACGACTGCCTAGCAGGCTGGAGGAAAAAGGAAATACAAAACAAAAACGCGACAGGATTAGTATTTGGGAAATAGGCGTAACATGACACCATTTCTCACACCAAAATTCGAACCTCATCACAACTGCTCCCCTCACTCGGAGTGCAGAAGCTGTACTCTAGAGAAATCTCCACAAGCGGCAAACCATCAGCAGTGGTTTCTCCATCCACTTCGGAGTAGAGTGTCTTCTCGGCCAGCTCCTGAAAGCACATGACAACTCAATGGTTGATGGTCTTGAAATCAACAAAGTTAAGTGTTAAATTTGAGAGCTTACCAAAATATACTTAAAGATGGGAGCCTTTAAGTCATCGATGATAACCGAGGCTGCCACCGATTCATCCTTTCGACGAGCAAACAATTCCATGCACAAATCATACTCCTCTGAAAGCGTGGTTAGGGAGAAAAAGAAAGAAGGACACACAGTTCAGCAAGATTATTGTGTCGGAGTAAAAAAAAAGAAAAAAAGGTAATTAGCTTTACAAAGTCGAGAAGTGCACAAACAACCACACATACTCTTTTTTTGATAGAAAACCTCCGGACTCAACACACAGTCTGGCGCTATGCGAAGATGGAAATTGGATGACGATGGCCTTGCTTGGGGTGCGTTTGGATCGAAGTTGGGAATCAGACCCGGTGCTAAGGGAAACATTGCAGCTCTGCTTTCAAGGCACAGTTGATTCAACTCTCGACCCTCACGAAGAGCCGTCATCTGATTCACCATGTACAACTCCGCAGTCGTCTGAAGGTGGGTGCATATTGCGTGAAAGTTGAACAATGCATAACCAACGCCCAGTAAAAGTATGAAGAGGTCTTCACTAACCGTTGTGTTACTTGAATCAATGGTGGTGATTGTGTCCGACTCCTCTCTAGGCGGTGAGGAGGCAAAATCCACTGCTGCATCCACCTTCGTCTCCACATTCACCAATTTTTGTTCACCTTGTGATTCAATCACGCTACAAACTGGCATCTCAACGGTCTGGAAGGGCAGTGTGAATAAGTTAGCATGAAAGAAGAATATGACAAAGCAAGGATACGAATGACACACCGATTTTTCCAATTTTTCCGATGAATCTTTGCCAAAGAGTGTACTCGCCGAC